TACGTAGGTACGTTATTTTTGCCTAGGGGTGGATGTACCATGATCTTTGGGGTTTAGGGACAGTTTGAGCTAATCCCCGCGGTACCTAGGCCAGTTCGATGCAGGATGGCATCAAATGCATGTAAATATAGTATTTCAGTACAAATGCCATTTTTGAGCTCAAATGCAGGAAATGCGGCCGAGATGTCCAAGTTTATCAAATGGATTCGAAAGGTTTCATCTTCCCCGCCACCGGAAACATCAACTACCATTCACGTGCCTCGCGCGATGCACGAAATGGAATGGAATGACCATCGCCAACCACTCAACCCGAAGAGGTCACGGACCGTTTTGCGTGAGGATGTGATTCTTGTCGTCATCAAAAACGCCCAAGGTGCCACAGACTATTGTGGGCTGAAAGAGGTATGTTGCGAGTACAGAGTCGATACATTCGTTCAAAGAGCTTGACTGATGCGCTGCGGTTCAGCTACTACAAAAGGAGACTGGGGAAGATGTCCACCGTAGCATCGTCCACACACAGGATGTTTGGGAACCGACATACTATTGTGGCGAATACCGCTATAAGTTGATTCTGCTTCCAGCTTCAGATCCTACTCCCTTCGGGGATCCATACATCCGTGATGCGAACCATTTCAGTCTTTTCCTCAACTACGACGCGTCATCCACTAAGTCATGGGATGAAATGGTGGCCAGTTGCGAGGACATTAGCAGCCGATGCGAGGACGGGGTCATCCCTTTGCCCACCATTGTGGCGGCCATGGGCGAAGGATGTGTATCGCGTGAGGAAGCCGAGAGGTTTGCCCGGCAGCGGTCTTGTCGGTTTTTCCAATATTCCCCCGTCACAGGCCACGGGCTTTGCAAGGCCTTTGCCTCGATTGTCGAACATGCCCATGGCACCAGACTGCAATATGCCACGGATCCGGACGGCTTCCAGGCCACCGTCAAGGCAACCACCGAGGTTGTGCAGCGCCTGTTTCGTTGACGCTCTGTGTGAACACTCTCAGAGTTCGCTTCCTCGACCCCCGCTCACACGACCCCTGCTCAGATTCTGGCGGCGGCCTTTTTAGCGCGCTGCCTCAGCTTGAACAACCTCGTTCCAGGCGGTAGCGGCCTTGGTCCAGGCGTCAACGGCGGGGGTGGTCTTGGCAGCAGACACGGGGGCAACGTGTGAGGAGTGGTGCCGGTGGTGGCGGGGTTGGAGGGGAAGATGGCCTCGGCCTCGGCGGCGAGCTTGGTCCAGGCGGCAACAGCCTTTTTCCAAGCGGAGACAGTCTTCACAGAGACGGTAGCAACCTCGTCCTAGGCGTTAGCAGCCTCTTCCCGGGCGGTGGCGGCAGCCTCGTCGCAGGCGCCAGCAGCTTCCCCCCAGACGGCAGCAGCCTCCTCCCAGGCGGCCGCAGCCTCGTCATAGGCGGTAGCAGTTGTTTCCCAGGCGGCAACAGCCTTGTTGTAGACGACACTAGCCTCTTCCCAGGTGGTAGCGGCTCTGGTCCAAACAACAGCGGCTATGCCCAAGGCGGCAAGGATGGTAGTGGCCTCGGCGGTGGCTCTCGGCGTCAATGGTGGCGCTGGCCTTGGTGGCAGGCGCGGGGGCGGTGATGGTGGCTCTGGCAGCGGCCTTATTGACAACCCCAGCACAGGAGTGCTAGTGATGGCCTTTCTAATGGCCTTTCTGGCGGCGGCCTTTTTGGCAACCTCTTCCAAGGCGGTAGCGGCTTTGGCTCACGCGACAGCAGTTTTGGTCCAGGCGGTAGCCGCTCTGGTCTGGGTGGGAATAGTGGCGGTGGCCCCGGCAGCAACGCTGGGGTGGCGATGTTGGAGGCGGTGGTGGTGGTTTTGGCGGCGGCCTTCTTAGCGCGCCGCTTCAGCCTGCGAGACAACCCGTAGATATTAGCCCATGCCCAATATCTGATCTAGGGCCACATTTACCTTGATCTCGCTCTTCTTGTCGTTGCTGTTGTTGCTGCTGCCGGTGCCGGCGCCTGAATTGGAACCCATAACAACGCGGGCAAATGCCGCGGCGGTGGCTTTGGGTGCCATGCCCGCGGTGGTGATGCTGAGACTTCAGGCTTGTCCGGCACTGTATAACATGGTCAGCACTTCGCATCCCAATTACTAGAGCACGAATGGGGATCCATAATAACGTGGCAGCAACTCCAGGCGTCATGCCCCGGGGTTCGTGACGCTGACGGGTCTGGCTCGGTCAGTCGGTCTGTGGCCTCGACCTCTGCAAAAATCGTGGCAGTGTACCGACCTACCCAAGGGCTCTGGGTGGCTTCGGTGCTGCCGGGGCAGGTGGGAGGCTCGTAGCCTCGTGGGAGTCAGAGATCAAGCACGGGATCGGAAGGAAGCCGGCCTGCGGAGGAAAAGGATCGACTCGGGCGCACTGCCCACCAGTCGGGGCCGACACTTCGAGGAAGGCAGGCAGGAGGCCGACCACAACCACTGCCCGAGGTGATGATGATGATGAGTGATGGAATTGCAGGTGTGACAGCATAACCCCCTGCTGCAATCGCACTCCACCCACTGCCGAACCCCACTGTCAGTGGTGCCAAGGCTTGGCTCGCCAAGGCCCTGAGACCAGCACATCCCGCACGGCCTCTCCGTAGATGTCCGGCCTCCAGCATAGCTAAGAAGTGTCAGGGGCAAAAATACGACGACCACGGTGGGACTCGAACCCACAACCTCAGTCTGGCAATTCTCCTTCAAATTTCTCTGTAGGAGGACCACACGCTACCATTACGCCACGCAGCCTCTTAATGAAAGCTGATGCGTAATTGAAGCGTTAGATATAGAAAATCTACTCGTCCCACTTAACATGCCTTCTTGTAACGTTTGCCGTCGTTCTGTCCTGCAATCAGCAGTTACTTACTTTTGAGTGTAATTAATAGTTACTTACTTCTTATAGTTAAATTTTCATTAGAACTACTTACGTAAGTATCTTTAGATTCTCCTACCTCTCACTCTGCTTTGCTTCTTGCGGGAAGATGGCGACCAAAGAGTTTAGCTAAGACCCGAAAGGCCCTCGCGACCAGGTTAATAGAGGTTTGCGCGTTCTGGGGAGAATCTTGTAGAATAAGCAAGGAAATTGTTGACGTCCACTAGGTATTATACACTGGATCGGGAATGGGCTTGATTAGATATTTGCTGTAAAAGCAAGGTCTAGTTCAGACACTCTTCTCAATCCGCAAAAAATACAATGAAATCAAGCCCCATGAATTTTGTCTTTTTCTGACGAAGCAACTGAGCACACTACCTACCTAGGTTGGTAGGTCCATTGGGACGAGAGGGGATGTGCGTTTGGAGGCTTCAAGTTGATTCCGCTATTTGTTCCCAAGGGTCGGTTATTTGCATGTGTAGAATCCCGTCACTTCCATGCGGGTACAAACAGACTCGCGCGCCTCCCCGGCTCCAGGGAGAGGTGGCCCACGGAGGCCGTTTGCACATTTCATCTTTTTCCCCATGCCCGCGCTTTTAGGTCCGAGTCGTTGGTATAAACCAAACCGCCTTCGCTCGTCCTCTTGTTTACTTCATCCCTCCCTTTGTAACCTCCTGAATCTCTTCAGTTCGCAGTCCCAACTTCAGTATCCCCAAACTCGACTCAACAACCCAAAAGGAATAATCCCGCTCGCAAGATGGGTGCCGTCGCAAAGAAGGAGCCTCTCGACGGCCTCGGCAACCACATTTATCTCGAGAAGCAAGACAAACTCCGCGAGATTGGCGTCGACATTCCCACGTCGCAGCAAACAAGCGTTGGGAAAACAGAGAGAGAGAAAAAAAAGAAACACCACGAATCTTGAGATTAGTAACCACAGGCAGATTGTCGTCGTCGGCAGCCAGTCGTCCGGCAAGAGCTCGCTCCTCGAGAGCTTGACCGGCTTCTCTTTCCCCCGGGGCCAGGGCGTCTGCACGCGTTACGCGACGCAGATCACGCTCCGCCGTAACCCGATCAAGAGCACCGTCATCTCCATCATCCCCTGGAGTGATTCAGACCAGGACCGGAGGGATCGTTTGAGAGGGTTCCGTCATGAGCGGGACGACTTTGACGGCAAGACCCTTGCCGGCGTCATTGAAGTGGTGGGTGAATGAATGCCTTGACATATGATTGTCCTTGCCCGCGATCGACCATGCTAATAACGTTTTCAGGCCAATACGGCCATGGGGATTCGGTCCGGCAAGTCCAAGGACGACACCTCGCTGCCGATGTTTAGCGATGACATTCTGAAGGTTGAGATCTCGGGTCCAGAGGTGAGTAAACTCGGCGGACCTGACACATCCATGAAACCCGGATACTAACTGCAACGCCGTGGCAGAGACCCCATCTCACCGTCATCGATGTGCCCGGTTTATTCCAGGTCACCGATCAAGGTTTGTGGCGTGTATTTTCCCGTCGACAAAAGTCTAACCGCTGACTCCCACAAGGCATCACCACCGATCTCGACAAGGCCAAGGTCGAAACAATGGTGCGGAGATACATGGAGAACGAGCGTACCATGTGAGCAGCCGCCCCTCAAAAGCCATCTATCTCCCTTCTGCCCGAGACGCTGACTCAACCATAACCGCAAGCGTCCTGGCCGTGCTGAGCTGTCTCTCCGACCGCGCTACGGAGGGAGTCCTACAACTTGCCAAGTCGGCCGATCCAGATGGCGTGAGAACAGTCGGCGTGCTCACCAAAGCCGACCTGGTCACGGAGCAGGCTGTCGTCCAGACGCTTCTCCAACTGGTCAAAGGCAACACTTTCAAGCTCGGCTACTTCATTGTCCGCAACCGGGGGGCCGACGAGGACACCCTGAGCATCGCGGAATGTCAGATGAAGGAGAAGGCCAAGTTTGCCGAGACGCAGTGGGCCGAGCTTGTGAAACTCGGCCGGACCGGCGTGGAAGCGCTGCGGGCCGAGCTCCAGACTTTGCTGACCGAGCTCGCAAGACGGGAGCTGCCCAAGCAGAGGTCCGAGGTGGAGCAGCGGCTCTCGGAATGCCGCAAGAAACTGGAAGCCATGGGCGCCCCGAGAGACAACTCGGCTAGCCAGCGGGAGTGTCTGGTCAGGCTCGCCTCCCAATTCGAGCGGATCGTCCGCGATGCCCTGGATGGTCGTTACGATGGCAACCCGATCTTCTCAGACAAGCCCGAGTTGAGGCTCGCCACCGAGATTGTGGATCTGAATGAGGGCTTCTCCGACGTGATGTGGAAGAAGGGACACAAGTGGGAGTTCGTGACGGAGTCTAGCGAGGATGTTTCTGAAGGCCCACTGGAGTACGAGAAGATGGCAAACGCCATTCAGGCCTCCGTGTCCTCCATTCCCGAGCTCCAGCACCTTGTTTGTGCCAACACTGTCTATCCTGCGCCCTCAGACGAATCCATTCTGGACCACATCGGAAAGTACTACAAGGAGAGCCGCGGCCCAGAGCTGGGAACGGTATGTGTGCCTCAGACCTAGCTAGTGACCGTGAATGGTGGAGCTGACACATGTGCATAGTTCGGAGGTTCTCTGCTCGCTATGACTTTCCGGGCGCAGGCATCGAAATGGCGGAACATTGTCATGGCCCACGTCGAGACTGTTATTGTGGTTGTCCATCGCTTCATCAAGACGCTGCTGAACAAGACGTTTGGCGACCAGCGGATGCGGGAGGAGTTATGGGGGTCGGTTCTCCTTGAGAAGCTCCAAGCTGCATACGTCCGGGCCAAGGACCAAGCCGGGTTTCTCCTCGACATTGAGATCAACGGCCGACCGAGAACGTTCAACCATTACTTCAACGACAATGTCGAAAAGTCCAGGACTGAGGGATTGACGCGGGCCATCAAAAAATCTGCAAGGTGTGATCGCCCACATAATTTTATCGAAATCCACCCGTCGGCCGTGGTTCAGATGGTGACCAAAAAGAACAACAGCGAGCAAACCAAGGAGGATATCCACAACAACTTGAAGAGCTATTACAAAGTCTCTCGCAAAAGGTTTGTGGATGTCATCTGCCGCCAGGTAGTTGACCACTTTCTGCTCGACGGCAGCGGCAGCCCGCTGAATGTGCTCACCTCGGAGCTCATCGCGACGATGAGTGACGCCCAGCTCGACATGATCGCTGGCGAGGATGCCACCACGAAGCGGGAGCGAGAACAGCTCAGGTCCGAGATCCAGGGCTTGGAGGCCGCGAGGAAGGTCCTGAGAGACTGATTCAGGCCTGGGGTAGTGCCATTGGTTTGTTGGGGGTTGGATCGGTGCTGTAGGATCATCCCTGCAAGTTTGTCGAGATTAGAAAGCTGTAGAGTGGTCCCACAAACCAAAGGGAGTGTACATACCATCCTGGGGGCCTGCCTCGACATCTGTTCGCCAAAAACTCCCCTAAACAAACCGACCCATAAAAAGAGGGACGGCCAGCAGTGATTCCCTCAAACCCCCGTCTCCATCTCAGCCATCTTCTCATCCATCCTCCTCGCCGCCTCCTCCTCAGCATCACCACCACCACCACCAACCCGACCATTCCCAACCACCACGCTGAGCCCCCTCCTCCGCAACTCGGCCTCCACATCCGCCCTCGTAACCATCCCCCGCTCAACCCCCATCTTCATCCCCTTCAAATCCGCCCTCATCTTCCGCCCCCACCCCTCAACGCTCCGCATGCCCACCACCAAAAACCCCAACTCCTCCCGGTCGACGTCAAACACCTCCCACCACTCGCACTCGGGCATCTTGGCGCCCACGTCGCGCGCCGCATTGTAGATGGCCGCGACGGCGAGCGCGTTGGGCTGGCTCGTCAGGCACAGCAGCTGCGGCGACAGCAGCGCCGTGTTGAGGTAGCGCACCGCGCGCTGCCCGATGCGCTCCTTGCTGCTTGCCATGCCGCCACAACCTAAAAAATCGAGCGCCTGCAGGTAGGTGATGGCCAGCGGGTGTGGCAGGGCCACGTGCGTGTCAAAGGAGAGGGTGTATAGCGCGTGGGCTTCGAGGTGGAGGAGGCGGGTGTGGAAGGCTTGGTAGGCGGGTTCTGAGAGGTAGTAGGCGGATGGGTTGTTAGATGGTGGCGGGGAGGTTGGGGGGTGGAAGAGGGATGTGGAGGGGGAGAGGAGGTAGGCGTAGACGTTGGAGAGATCGCGTGGGGAGCGGGGGTGCGGGGAGAGTTTGGCGGTTAGGTAGAGGATTGCGGCCGAGATGTCCTGACAGAGAAATTGTTTTGTTAGCTTGGGGATCGGCGGGGGGATGGGGGGGTGAAGGCGGGAAGAGGTACGCTAAATTCGTGGGACATGATGGGCTCGACGAGCCAGTATCGCGCCAACAAGACATTGGCTTGCGCGGTGACGGACTGCGGGAGCTGGAGGAGGATGCCGGCGGCCTGGGTAAGGCATTGTGTCGCAAACAAGATGGTGTCTTGGAGTTCGATGGGGAGGGAGTCGAAGGAGCGTCGCTGGAACAATTGATCTGGCGTGGCCAGGGGGTTTGTCATGTGCGACATTGTGTGGTTGTGATGTCGGGTTTGGAGGGGTTGGAGGTGTTTGGTTTGGAAAGGCCGGGAGGATGTTTTGTTCATGGCCGATTCACGCCGACGACGACGGTTACCGTGCATGAACACAGTGAAATGCAGTTCTGGCACGCGGCCGGACGTTACTCCAGGGTTAGGGTCATTACCACTTACACGCTGCTGGTGATCATGGAAATTGCCAACTGTGAAGCGGTTGGTGATGTTTTGAATGTGGAATATCGTTACATTAGTCTTTAAATATTTGTAGAAATATCTCAATGTCAATCAATCATCTTTAGTACG